AGCCCAGGAGTTGGAGGTTGCTGTGAGCTGTAATGCCACGGCACTCTACCCAGGGGGACAGCTTGAGGCTCTGTCTCAAAAAAAAAAAAAAACAAAGTCAAGCCCTGTATGTAGGCTCCGTCATTTTGTAACTCCAGTGTCTGGGCTGTTGTCTGCTTTTTTGCTCCTAAAAAATTGAGATTTAGTAAGTTTTTTGTGAAGCTTATCTCAGAAAATACTCATCTTCTAAAAAACCTCCGTTCACCTCAGAAACTAATAGTCACTAAATAAAGCCTCTAAAATTTTCTTTGGGGCCGGGCACAGTGGCTCATGCCCAGGGTTCTAGGAGGCTAAGGCAGGTGGATTGCCTGAGCTCAAGGGTTAGAGATCAACCTGAGCAAGTGTGAGATCTCGACTCTTCAAAAAAAGTAAAATAGCCAGGCATTGTGGCAGGCACCTGTCAGCCCAGTTACTTGGGAAGCTGAGGCAAACTCTTAAGTCCAAGCTGTGAGATGTGTGAGCTATGACACCACATCACTCTACCAAGGGTGACAAAGTGAGACTCTGTCTCAAAAAATAAATTAATTAAATTAAATTAAAATAAAAATTTCTTTGAGATCACATATACATTATAGAGAACACACAGCACCCTGTCAGTTACTAAGCTTAGTTCTGAGGACACAGTCTTGGGAAAAAGTAAGTTGAAATTAGGCACCAGTACCACAGAAAAGGTTAGGGTGCCACAGTGGACCCAGGACTCTGTCAGCCTGGGCTCCTTCCTGCCCTCCACCTGCTCTCATCTGAGTTCCAACATATTTTCTCAGGAAGCTGCTTATGTAGGGGATCTTTTACCTGTTGGTTTGCATTTCTGGGAAATATGAGCCCTGTCAAGATGAGTGGGCCTACTGAACTTTGCCTCCTAGTTTGAGCAACTTAAAAACTTTCTACGTAGGAATCCTCTGCCCTCCCGAGTGCAACCTGATTGCCTCTCCCCCTGCCCCATGTCTCAGTCAAGGGACCAGGCACCTAGATATGACTTCTAGCTTGTTAAAATTAGGTGACAGTTTTCTCATAAAAATCTTATCTCTGCCTTTCTCCTGAGATCTTGGGCTTACAAATTACAATTACTTATTAGTATACTAAGTTTACTTTCTTGAAGTCAAAGAATCTGATAAAAATTTATCAAATACCATGCTTTTACATAGTTACTTAAAATTATAAACGTTTCAGTAAGTTAATTTTCAGATAACTGATGTTCCCCGTTTTTTGTTAACCCATTTTTTAAATAGACATCTGTATAAATTTTTTACATTGGTTGTAGGCTTGAGTGTCATTTTTTTGTTTTTCTTTTACAATTCCTTTGTGACTTAGATTACAGACAGTGATGTTATAACTCTTCTCAAAATGAGTAAGGTTAATGTCCATTCTTGGGCTATTCTGACTTCTGTCTGGTGGGGCTTGAGTCATTCCATGTCTCTGCCCTGTCACTCTGTCCTCATGCATGCCTGTCCCCTTGCCTGTTCCTGCCAGCTGACAGTGTCCCTGGGATGCAGAGGACCCAGCTCTGCAAGCATGCCCTGGCCTTGAGCCCCATGGAGTGTGTCTCTGGTGATTTCAGTTTATGCCTCTGCTCTAGGTGGTTGGCATTGCTTATCACATGACCTGGGACTGGGCGTTGAAGCATTTATCTAGTTGAATTGTCTGTGTGTGGTTTGCAAATTCTGTCCAGACTGTATGACTCTGGAGTGTCATTCGGTTGCAGAACAGCCAGACACAGTCTCCAACGCCACCAAGGCCTCCATCACCAAGCTTCGAACTGGGGCTGTCCAACTTTCCCCCGTTACCTGGAGCTGCAGGCAACTTGAAGACAGAGGACTTGTTTGAAAACAGGCTGTCTGGCTTGATAATAGGATCAACAAAAGAAAGGGTAAGGTGTATACTGCGTGTCTCAGAGCTGGTCATATTTACTAAGCCCCGATTTCCTGTCAGACACTTTGCTGAGCTCTTTATAAGGTTAGAGGTTACGTAATTAGCAGAGGTGGTATTTGGTGTGAGGCTGTCTGTGTTGAACTCAGGCTGTACTCTCTCCTTACCTTGCTGTCTGCTCAGGTCGCAGGCAGAAACCTGGGCCGTGAGGTGCTGTGCAGACCCTCTTGTTCACCAGGAACTTAGATTGCATTTCCATTCAGACCTGCCTGTATTTTGCAAGGTAATAGAAAAATTGTAATTATACTGGAAGTAAAACAATTTTTTTCTTTTTTTGAGACTGAGTCTCATTATGTCGCCCTCAGTAGAATGCTGTAGCATCACAGCTCACGGCAACCTCAAACTTTTGGGCTCAAGCAATTCTCTTGCTTCAGCCTCCCAAGTAGCTGGGACTATAGGCGCCCATCACAACGCCTGGCTATTTTTTTTATTATTGTTATATTTGTCGTTGTTTAGCTGGCCCAGGCTAGGTTTGAACCTGCCAGCTAGAAGTAATGTAATTTTTAGTAATCTGTGTAAGATAAAAAATGAGAAGCCCAGAATAACTTCACTGTATCATTGGCATCAAATGGGGTGCTGTCACCCAGCCGTGCATGGGCCAGAGGGTGTTCACCTCCAGTGCCCTCTGCTCCCGTGTGGTTGACAGGTTGAGGGGGGTCTGTTGGTGCTTCAAGGTTGTGGGTGAAGCTCTGGGAAGCACACTGAGCCTGTGGAACGCCCTGGCAATGAGTCCACCCTGTCCTGTAGCTGTGCTCAGGCTACAGTCAACACATACACCCCCACTGCCGCTAGCCCAGGACTGAGGGGTTGCTGTTCTGTGGGCTCTGGGTGTGGGAATAGAGACCATCCCCAGCTTGAGTTTAGAACCACTGATGGGGACACAGCAGTTCCTCAGTGACCGGGGCAGGGATTAGCATGGGTTTTGCTCCAGTGTCTTGGATGCGAGGCCAGGAGAGGTGTTTGGTCTCTCTCACACTGTTAGTGGCTGCTCCTGTTTTCCACCTGCAGGGTAAGTGCATTCCAAGCCTCAGTAGGAGGCCTTAAAGTCCACACAGAAATTTCCAAGTTCTTAATGCCTTACAAGTGCTGTTAGAGAACTGGTGTGCTCCAAAGGTCATAAATTCTAGTTTTCAAACTGGCTCACCCTGAAGACAGTCTGGTCTCCACTCCGCTTCAGGAACACCAGCTACTACCTTGCACATCAGGGCGGAGCTGAGTTATGAGTGTCTGCGTAAGGTTTCTCTGGAAGAAAGAAAGTCTGAACCCGACTCCATGGATGGGTGTTGCAGGACCCTCACTGCCTTTTGTGTCCTGGGGATGCTGGAGCTTCACACAGGCTGCAGCTCAGCCCCTCTGCATGGAGGGGTCTGTGGTAGGCACCCGACTCTTCGTGTAGCTGCATCAGCCCTGAGCACACATCCTGAACTTGAGGGAGCTTCTGCAAAGAAGAGCATAGGCTGCCCCCAGTTTCCACCAAGCCACAGCCCCTGCTGGACCAAGAGGCACAGAGGTTCTCTTGTGAGAAGAGCCCCTTTGCCAGTGGCTGGCCTGCCCTGGGTGGGTGTGCAGGTGTCTCTCTCACACTCGCTCCTGCTCTAGGGAATGTTGACCATGTCGTTGCGATTCTGGACTTTTTATCTGCTTTGAAAAGTAAAGCATTTTAAGAAAATTTTTTCTTTTTATACTTAAATTTTTACTGCCATTTATTTGTTCTACTGTCCTTTCTGAATTCCATGACAAGTGTGTCATTACACATAACATGAGTAAGACTGAGCATGTGAAAAGTAGCCACTGTGCATGGGGCACTGACTGAAGTGAGAACATCTGGTTTTGTTTTTTAAAATAAATTTACAGGCTCGGCACCTATAGCTCAACCGGCTAAGGCGCCAGCCACGTACACCTAAGGTGGCAGGTTCGAATCCCCAGCCCGGACCTGCCAAACAACAATGACGGCTGCAACCAAAAAATAGCCGGGCGTTGTGGCGGGCGCCTGTGGTCCCAGCTACTTGGGAGGCAGAGGCAGGAGACTCGCTTGAGCCCAGGAGTTGGAGGTTGCTGTGAGCTGTAATGCCATAGCACTCTACCCAGGGGGACAGCTTGAGGCTCTGTCTCAAAAAAAAAAAAATAAATAAATAAATAAATTTACAGTATACAGGTCAAATTCTTCTACACATATGTATTGTACAGTGTGGAGTCAGGGCTTTTGGTGAACCCATCACCCGAGTAGTGTACTTTGTGCCCAGGGCTGAATCTTCATCCTCACCCACCCCACCACCCCCTGCAGATCTCTAGCGTGGGTCATTCCACCCCTGTGCCCTGAATAGCTGTTGTTTAGATCCTGCTGATAAGAAAACATGCACCATTTGTTTTCTGTTCCCGAGACTCTCCACTCAGGATAATGGCCTACAGCTCTATCTAAGTTGTGCAGAGGGCATATTTAATCCCCTCTTACTGCCGAGTACTGCCCCATAGTGTATATACCACCCTTTTTCCCTCTTTATGAGATAGGGTCTCACTCTAGCCCAGGCTGAAGTGCAGTGGCATCATTACAGCTCACTGCAACCTCAAACTCCCAGACTCAAATGATCCTCCTGCCTTAGCCTCCCAAGTATCTAGGACTACAGGCACCAACCACGCCTGGCTAATTTTTCTCTTTCTAGTAGAAACGGGGTCTCACTTTTGCGCAGGCTGTTCTACCACATGTCCTTTATCCACTCATCTACTGGTGGGCCCTCAGGTTGGCTCCGCATCTTCATGGTTGTGATTGTGCTGTAGTAAATACAGTGCAGGTGTCTGTGATGTAATGATTTCCTTCCCTCTGGCTGGACCCCAGTGGTGGGGTTGCTGGACCAGGTGGTAGGTTTCCTGGTATTACATGCTTTTGCTTTTTAGCTATTGGTATATCTTCTTTGTTAAATGCCTGTTTGTGTCATTTGCCTGCTTTTTAATGGGATTGGGTTTTTTTCCTTACTGAGTTCCTTGTAGATTCTGAATATTCGTCTTTTGGTGTTTTTTTTTGTTTGTTTGTTTGTTTGTTTTTAGAGACAGAGTCTCACTTTATTGCCCTGGGTAGAGTGCCGTGGCATCAAACTGCTCATAGCAACCTCCAACTCCTGGGTTTGGATGATTCTCTTGCCTCAGCGTCCCGAGTAGCTGGGACTACAGGCGCCCACCACAACGCCCAGCTATTTTTTTGTTGCAGTTTGTCTGGGGCTGGGTTTGAACCTGCCACCCTCGGTATATGGGGCCGGCGCCCCGTTCACTGAGCCACAGGCACCGCCCAACATTCATCTTTTGTCAGATAGCATAGTTTGTAAATATTTTCTCCCATTCTCTAAGTTGTCTCCTTACTCTCTTGTTTATTTTACTGCACAGAAACGTTTTAGTTTAATCAAGTCCCAGTGTCTATATTTTATTGTGTTTGCTTTTGGGGTCTTAGTCATAAATATGCCTAGGACAGTGTCCAGAAGAGTTTTTCCTAGATGTTGCTCTATAATTTTTGTGACTTCAGGTCTTACATTTAAGTCTTTAATCCACTTTGAGTTAATTTTTGTACACGTTAAGAGTTAGGTATCCAGCTTCCTCCTTTGCAGGTGGCTCTCCCATTTTTCCAGCACCGTTTATCTTTCCCAGAGTGTGTTGTTGTCTGCTTTGTTGAAGATCAGTTGGCTGCAGGTAGGTAGCTTTATTTCTGGGTTCTCTGTTCTGTTCCATTGATCTGCATCTATTTTAATTCTACTACTACCAGGCTGTTTGGGTTATTAGAGCCTTATAGTATAATTTGAAGTCAGATAACGTGAAGCAGCCCATCTTTCTTCTTTTTGCTGAGATTGTTTTAGCTATTTGGACTCTGTTTTAGTTCCATATGAAGTTTAGGGTTGTTTTTTCTAATTTTGTGAAAAATGATGTTGGTGTTTTGTTTTGTTTTGTTTTTGGAGACAGAGCCTCAAGCTGTTGCCCTGGGTAGAGTGCCATGGCATCACAGCTCACAGCAACCTCTAACTCCTGGGCTCAAGCAAGTCTCCTTCCTTCACCTCCCAAGTAGCTGGGACCACAGGCACCCACCACAACACCTTTTTTGGTTGCAGCCATCATTGTTGTTTGTCGGGCCAGGGCTGGATTCGAACCCATCAGCTCAGGTGTACGTGGCTGGCGCCTTAGCCGCTTGAGCCACAGGTGCCGAGCCGATGTTGGTGTTTTGACAGGAATTACATAGATGGCTTTGGGCAGGATGGGCATTTTGACAGTGTTGATTTTTCTGATCCAGGAGCATGAGATGTTTTTGCATTTGTTTATTTGCCTGATTCTTTCATTAGTGTTTTGTAGTTCACCTTGTAGAGATCATTTGCCACCTCGGTTGAATATACTCCTTGATATTTTGTACTTTTTGCAGTTGTTATGAATACAGTTGAGTTCTTGATTTGGTTTTTAGTTCAGTCATTGGCATATAAAAATGTTAATTTTTCCACATTGATTTTATAACTTCAGACTTTGCTGGATTCTTTTCATTTCTTGGATTAATGACCTTGGGCAAACTAATTTAGATGTTTTGAGCCTCAGTTTCCTTGCCTTTTTAATTTGGAGCATTAATTTTCCTGCTTCTGAGGGTTGTATCTGCCAGAGCTCACTCAACTCCGTGCAGGCGTAGGGGTGTCAACCTTCTTTTCCAGTAAGAAGAATGAGTCATCCTTAACTGTTGTAGCAACTCCCCACTCAGCAGGCATTTGAGTGCTCACTCTGTGTGGCTGTGCTTTGGCCCTGCAGGAGCAGATGGGTCTGATTCTATGCTGAGGAGACAGGCTTGCAGATCACCATAGCAGAAGTGCAGGGAGGGTCGGGAAGCACTTCCGACTTGTGCAGAGCTCTCTGGAGTGCTCCCAAGGACAGACTTGGGGTCTTCTAGGTATTTTTGCTAGTAAAGATTCTCTTCCCTCCATCCTGGTGTCCGTGGGTAGGGTGGGCACATAAAGGGCAGCCAGTTCACTCAGCATGGCTCGGTTGGCCCCTGTCTGTGAGAGTTAGACAGGAGCAGGCTTGTAGGTGTGGGGCTATCTGTACTTGTTGGACCCTCCCCTCCTATAGCAAAGCTCTGGTGAATGCATCTTTGCCCTATTGTAAACTGCTACTCGGTGATTTCAGAGCCTCAGTGCAGATGCCAGTTCGAACACTGTCCCTGCAGCAGTCCCCAGAGAGCCCCTGGTGCCGGTTTCCTGTGCAGTGTCAGCAGCCTACGAGCGGCCCCCCTCCCCGGCCTGTCTGCCCGAGTGAGTACCGATGTTCTGCCAGCACCTGAGTGTCCACAGATGTGAGTGACCCACAGTGGTCGTGAGATTCAGATGCTGCTGTCACTTTTACAGGGACCCCAAGGCAGTGGAGAAGCAGCGGGAAGCCCATGGTGGGGACAGACTCCCTTCCGCCTTCGCCACCACTGCGTGTAAATCTGTACAGGTGAACGGAGCTGCCACAGTGAGTACCTCATGCCTACCTTGTCCACAACGGTCAGTGGCACTACCATCCTTAGTTAGCTCACCTTTATATTGAGGCTGATTTGGTGGGTTTGTATTTGCAGCTATACAAAATGCCCTGAATATTTGCTGATAATATTCACTAACCACTCTGGTCACTTCCCAGTTACACAGCCTTGTTGTCTTTCTATTTCAGTGTCAGTCAACAGAGTTTTCTTGAGTATTAAAGTCACAACAGCTATCCTTCCGTAGAATGTATGATCAGTTAAACATTTCCTGTATGTGTGTCATGTGTCTGGTAACAAGGTAGGAAGGACCAGGTGTGGTGGCTCACATCTGTAACCAGAACTCCGGGAGACTTGAGGCAAGAGTAGGGTGACCAGACGTCCCGCTCTTGGCGGCACAGTCCCACTTTTGAACAATTTGTCCTGCGTCCTGCAACATTTTAAAAAAGTCCCGATTTTTGGAAAGAATGCACGAACCGGCAGGAGAACAGGAAGGGAATATATGGTTTTCAGCTGCCACGTGGCTATTTCGCCAGAATATGAGTTTTATATTATTGTTGTTAATTTTATAATGTTAAACTGTAATAATAACAAATAATTGCTGAGAACTGATTATTGAGAACTGCTTATGCATTGTTGCCAGGCCCTGCCCTGCCCTGCCCCGTCTCTGCCCTGCCCCCTTCCTCCCCCACTCCATGCTGTCCGACCTTACTGATGTTAAAATCTGGTCACCCTAGGCAAGAGGAATGTTTAAGTCCACGAGTTTGAGGCTAGGCTGGGCAACACAGCAGGACTCCATCTCTACAAAAATAAGAAAAAGTAGCTGGGCATGATGGCTAATGCCTGTAGTCCCAGCCACTCAGGTGGCCAAGGCAGGAGGGCCACTGGAGCCACAGGAGTTGGAGATTGACTGTCACTGCATTCCAGTCTAGATGATAGACTTTGTTAATAAAAAAGAAAGAACCTGGAAGAACAAGACAGTGGCCCTACAAGCTGCTAGCTCTGTGAGTCTGACAGGCTACACCCTCTGGTGGTTTCCTGCCAGGTGAGTCCAGCCTCTATTATCTGGTTTGTATCATCCTCAGCTTGGTCTTGAATGAAACTTCTCCTTAGATTTGGAGGTGTAAGTACTTACTGTCCACTGGGTGAGTCTAAAAGATTTTCCTTTCTTTTTTTTTTTTTTTTTTTGAGACAGAGTCTCAAGCTGTAGCCCTTGGTAGAGTGCCGTGGTGTCACAGCTCACAACAACCTCAAACTCTTGGGCTTAAGCAGTTCTCTTGCCTCAGCTTCCCAAGTAGCTGGGGCTACAGGCTCCCACCACAATGTCTGGTGGCATTTTTTTGTTGTTGTTGTAGTTGTTGTCATTTTAGCTGGCCCAGGTTGGGTTTGAACCTGGAAGCCTCCTTGTATGTGGCCAATGCCCTATCCACTGAGCTACAGAAGTCACCTAAAAGATTTTTTTTAGGTTAAAATTATTAGGCAACAAATGGCTTTTGCAGGTGAGACATGTTAACAGTCCTGTGCTACTCAGCCTTTATGCTCCCATTTGTCTGGAAGCCTATTACACCTTGCAGTGAAGTAATTAGCTTCATCTTCACTATTCTTTTATGTTTGCTTAAGGTTTTTAAATTTCTTTAATTTTTTTTTTTTTTTTTTTTTTTTGAGGAGAAGGAAAGAGTAATTTATTAATTTGCCAGCAAATGGGGAGGGTAGCAGGTGCCTGTCTGAAAAAGTACCAGTACCCTTCTGAACAGAAGCACAGAGCTTTTAAAAGTTCTTACTGGGAGGCGCCTGTGGCTCAGTGAGTAGGGCGCCGGCCCCATATACCGAGGGTGGCGGGTTCAAACCCAGCCCCAGCCAAACTGCAACAAAAAAGAGCCGGGTGTTGTGGCGGGCGCCTGTAGTCCCAGCTACTTGGGAGGCTGAGGCAGAAGAATCGCCTAAGCCCAGGAGTTGGAGGTTGCTGTGAGCTATGACTCTACTTCACTCTACTGAGGGCAAAAAAGTGAGACTCTGTCTCTACCAAAAAAAAAAAAAAAGTTCTTATTAATCCCATAATCTCATTTTGGACTAGGATAATCTCTAGTCTCTGCCTGAGTTCTTCCCATCTTCAGCTAAGACAATATTGTGACTGCTGCACAATTTAGTTCATTTGTATTTAGGGTTAGGGCACAGTGGATGACCTGTGCTGTGGTGAGGTCTGGGCTCTTGCGGCCTGTCTTGGTGGAGGGCATACTGCGTCCCTGCCCCACTCTGCAGTATTCCCCTCAGTGTCCTCCCTAGTCCCTGTGCCCCAGGGTGGCCATAGCTTAGCTTCTGCTTGTAACTGAAAAATCCTTAGGGTTTCATTTTCTGTCTGTGAGACACTCACTTAGGGTAACAGCTTCCCGTTCCATCCAGGTTGCTGCAACAGATGTTTCGTCCTTCCCATGGCTGGTGAGCACTGGTGTACACGCACCATCCTCTCTGTCCACTCAGCAGCCAGTGACCACTCAGGGCTCCACCTCTGTACAGCTACATCTTCACCACTCTTTATTTTTTTGACACAGAGTTTCAAACTGTCACCCTGGGTAGAGTGCTGTAACATCACAGTTCACAGAAACCTCCAACTCTTGGGTTCAAATGATCCTCTTGCCTCAGTTTTTCTATTTTTAGTAGAGACAGGGTCTTGTTCTTGCTCAGGCTGTTCTCAAACTCCTGAGCTCAGGCAATCCACTCACCTCAGCCTCCCAGAGTGCTGGGATTACAGGCGTGAGCTACTACTGTGACTGGCCAAAGGAAGAAGAGGCAAAAGCCTACAGCACCCAGTACTCCCAGGTGGTCTCCCATCCAAGTATTAACAGGCCCAACCCTGTTTAGCTTTCAAGATCAGACAAGATCCAGCATGTTCAGGGTGGTGTGGCCGTAGACTGTCACTCTTAGAGTCTCACTATATCGCCCTTGGTAGAGTACCATGGTGTCACACTGCTCACAGCAACCTCCAACTCCTGGGCACAGATGATTCTCTTGCCTCAGCCTCCCAAGTAGCTGGGACCACAGGCACCCGCCACCTGCCACAATGCCCAGCTATCTTTTTGTTGCAGTCTGGCCAGGGCTAGGTTTGAACTTAATCACCCTCAGTATATGGGGCTGGTGCCCTACCCAGTAAGCCACAGGCGCCACCCAACCGTCACTCTTACTTTTTTTTTTTTTTT